CACACACACACAAAACAAACCTCAACAAAACAACATCAACAACAAACCCAATGTAATCCCACAAGTGGGGTTTAGGGAGGGTAGTGTGTACACAGACCATATCCTTACCTTGTGGAGGTAGAGAGGCTATTTCCGGTAGACCCTCGGCTCTAGAAAAGATGAAGAAGTCGCATTAGCAGCAAGTATTAATTACAACAAGATAATAGGATAATCAAAGCGAAAGAAATAACATGAAGTAAAAGCAAACTACGAATAAGGAATTACAAGCACAATACTGATACTACTAGTATTGGAAAGAAATATGCTCACTACCTACTAACCTTCTACCCTAGTCCTTGACCTCACACCCTCCTGCCAAAGGTCATGTCCTCGGTAAGTTAAAGCAAAAACAAAAGAATAAAAAAAATAGCGAAAAAATAATCTAACCCCTTGTGTAATACCTTTCACTATGATTTTCATAATCCTCTCTAGACCTTCTATGTTTACCTTACATTTTGATAAGGGGTCTATAGCAGAGAAAACCTACATAAAAAGCTACATGATTGCGTTTTGCATGCTCCTATTGGTCACTAACCATGTGCAATGCCTTTATTTTTCTCTGTTTTTATTTCTGTCTTAGCACTCATATCAACCCTAATGATTTTTCTATTTTCAGCAATCTAAGCTAGAGCTGTTACGCAGTGGGCTGCAGGTAGACTCCATCCCAGTCTTTTATTGCACATATCTCTTCATATTTTATCCATTCACATGAAAAGGGGAACATAAAATTAGGAAAAGATCTCTTTCTTTTTCAAAAATTAGGAAAAGATGTGCAAAGAAAACACAGGTGCACAGAGAATTAATGTGTGTGTATCCCTCATTCCTTTTACAGAATTCAATTGTATGAATCAGTTGTTGGAATTATCTTACATATAGTTCACTTTACTATTGAGCAAAAGGATTTGTTTGGTTTGTGTTGGAGAACAGTCAGATGTAGAGTAGTTTTTGGGCTTATTCAATGAATGAAGTGTGTGAAATTCTTGAGGAAAATTAAGTTTGAAGAGGCAACGTTAGGCAATTATTATTGTTGTTATTCTTTGCTACTAGCCAATTGGAGATATCATACCTTTTAGGTTCTTATTTAGTGTCCGTGGTTTTCTTTTAGATTATATGTTCTCCAATTTTCAATAGTAGGGCCAATTTTTGCATATCAAAATTGTTGCTGTTTGCAGAACAATCTAGATGTGGCAGTTCTATTCCTTTTAGGAGTCTATATGGACTTTGGTAATTTGTAGCTGCTGTGAATAAGTAATAGTCTTTTTTTCTTTACCTTTTGTTTCATTAATTTAGTTCTGTATGTAATTTGGGTGTGGAGATTGTGTTACAGTTGGTCTTGTTTAGTTTGTCCTTGACGACTTACTAAGAGTGATGAGGTGGGAGTAGAGAAACCTAGGCTGTGGTTGCCTTCAGTTATTAAGAGGTTCTGCAATTATAGAAGAAGTTTGAGAGATTTTTGTTACCATGTGATGGGCATGGGAGATGTTCCTGAAGCAAGTCACGAAAGCTCTCTTTTGACGGAACCTGAGGGGAGGAATAATATCCACCAGAGCTTTATTTTGCAAAGTTATGGTTTCGGGGTGTGGAAATGGTGGGGATGGGATAAAGCGTCACTTGAGGTTTTTTTTTTTCCATTGGGTGGCCGTGGCATAAGGTGAGCCTAAATGGAGTAACATGGTCAATGAGGATTCATATAGCCGACACAACTTGTTTGGAGTTGAGGCATAATTGTTGTTGTTGGATGGCCATGGCGATAATTTGAGAGAAGAAAAGCATGGCAGGACGACTTGAAGCTTCAGGGCCGTGGCGATAATTTGAGAGAAGAAAAGCATGGCAGAACGGCTTGAAGCTTCAGGTTGACACTGTAAGTGGTGGCACATATTGCTGGGTTGGGGTGAAGTTGGGACTGGAAAAGCATAGGGTAAGTGAGCTATTCGAGGTGTAGGAGATACTTAGCCATAAACACAAACTATTTTTTATGAAGTCATAATCTCAAACACAATTATATTTCTTTGCTTGTTTATTGGTGCAACTTGACACTTGTGTGCGATGTATATGCAATGCATCTGCACGATTTGTAATTATGTCTTGTAACACTAGTTTAGTGCCAATTTATCATTTATAAAAATTTTCTTTACTTATAATAAAAAGAAGATAACTTTTCTATTTTGAGTTGTCCTGAGGTATAGGAGATAGCGTTTTCCATTTTTGAATTTTAATCGCCAGGTTGAAGAACTGAGCTCCTCATATTGAGGGGCGACTAGTTAGTCACTTGTCACAGAACTTTGACTAGTGAACGGAGAACCTTTCAAAATTTTGCTGGTTAGAACTCCATGTACAACAATAACAACCCAGTAAAATTTCACTGATGGGGTTTGGGAAGGGTAGAGTGTACGCGGACCTTACCCCTACCCCGGAGGGGTAGAGGCTGTTTCCGGGAGATCCTCGGCTCAGAGACAATAGATCCGTGACAACAAAACCCGAAAAATAATATTAGCAACGTGAGAAACAGCAAATAAATGGAAAAACAGTAACACAAATATTATGCAAAAGTGTGAAACACAACATAAATTGCTAACATGGCTAGACAAAACCTTATCATATTCGTCGGTACAAAGAAGGAAACCGGGACAAAGAGGAAAATCGCTCGACTACAACCTACAACTCTAATGCTCGACCTCCACACCTTCCTATCAAGAGCCATGTCCTCGGAAATCTGGAGCCGCGCCATGTCCTGTTTGATCACCTCGACCCAATACTTTCTAGGCCGCCCTCTGCCTCTTTTCGTACCTACCAAAGCCAACCACTCACACCTCCTAACCGGGGCATCTAGGCTTCTCCTCTGCACATGACCGAACCATCTAAGCTGAGCTTCCCGCATCTTGTCGTCCACCGGAGCCACGCCCATCCTCTCCCGAATATTTTCATTCCTAATCTTATCCAGCCTAGTGTGCCCGCACATCCATCTCAATATTCTCATTTCTGCTACTTTCATCTTTTGGATATGTGAATTCTTGACTGGCCAACACTCAACCCCATACAACATGGCCGGTCTAACCACCGCTCTATGGAACTTATCTTTGAGTTTCGGTGGTACATTCTTGTCACACAGGACTCCAGATGCTAACCTCCATTTCATCCACCTCACCCCAATACGGTGCGTAACATCCCCGCCGATCTCCCCATCTCCCTAGATAATTGACCCTAAGTACTTAAAACTTTCCCTCTTGAGGATGACCTGCGAGTCAAGCCTGACTTCCACATCCGCTTCCCTCGTCACGTCGCTGAACTTACATTCCACATATTTCGCCTAATGTCATTAGCTATTCATTTACAAGCGAAGCTTCCTTTGGATGGTCCAAAAGAAAAATGGTCAAGGAGACTATTGAAGCCATAACTAATTAATTGAAAGTGTGCTTTCTCTAATCGTTTAAGTTCTTAAATTAGATGGTCACATTATCCATTGTGGTATTAGAGCATCCAGAGATCTCGAGTTTAATTGAAAAGAATTTTCACATGCTTGGCCCTAATAAAATGAGTCCGGCCCCTACATGAGAGGGCGTGTTGAAGACATAATTAATTAATTTAAGTGTGTGATTTCTAACAGAATGAGCTTAGACATTGTTAGTTGACTAACAGTGTGCTATCTCTAGCAAATTAAGCTTTTAAATGAGGTGGCCAGACTACTCGACATGAGGCTTTTCCAAAAAGAAATCAATGAGCTGAGTCATTTTGTTAGGTCTTTGTTTGCTTTTGGGTCACTTAGGGTGGTTCATTCTGGGGCCAGTTAGGGTGGTGCTTTTGGTGCCAGATTGTGAGATGAGCGTATTTATGATAATATTTCTATATTTTGGGTCTCTTTGTGTCTGTATTAAGCTCTGATATATGAGTTGCACTCCTCCTGAGTGCAATTTCTAATCAAATTCTTCGTTTTTCCAAAACAAATCCGAATAATAAACAGAATAAGTTTAATTCCTCACTGATCTCAATTGTGCTTCTTGATCAGTCACTTTTTCCTTTGCCATCATATATATCACTACATTTATGTTTTCAGAGCTCATGTTTGTGATAGCATTTTCCTTCTCTTGCAACCTTAAGGTTTTCCATATCCCTTGGATCACTGTTTTCCCCCAACTATTCTCAGTTCTCATGACTTCATCTACTGAGCTGCATGAAGTACCAAAAATATTCAACATCTTTTGTTTTTGCTATTTTATTTTGGTTACTTCATGAGCGTTGGATTATTATAGGGCATTTAGATGCTAAAATTTGTACCTTAAGTTGCATTTGATGTTATGAGTACTAAATTCACATATATTAAGCAACTTCTGTATCATCTTTAAACTATGCTCTTCATTTCGAGGAAACATGTGCTTCGCTTCTCAGTTCTCGCTTAAAGCCCTAGGAGTCTTGTCACTGTTTGTGCTTTCCGCTTTTATAAACACTGCTCTATACCCATTTTTCTTCCAGAACAAAATGTCCATTGGACAAATTACCCTACAATAGTACTTTGTTATCCTGTTTGTCATTTTTTGTGACTGAATGTAGACAACAACTTGTTCTTTTGAAGATGGCCAGCTATGCTATCCAGTTTGTCGTTTTCAGTGACTAGATGTAGATAGCAATTTGCAAGGTGACTTGACTTCTTCAGGGAGTGTGTCCCAGCAACGCAGTGTGTGATGCGTGTTTTAGTGCATGTCACAGACTTCAAACCTACTGACTGCCATAGACAAAAACTTAGTATTTAAGGGAGAAGGGTTTTGAACCTTGCGTCATTGGCCCTTGGGACTTTCTCAGTTATCACTAAAAAAAATGAATTTCATCTGCGAAATGTCTTGATGAGATAACTAAGATCCTTCCTACCTTGTTTTGTACCGTTTTCCAGCTCTTACAGCTGCTCTTAGTGTTGCTCAAAATCATGTCTTAGGAGCTCTGCCATCACCAGTATAGGTGTAGGTCAAATAAAGGGGTGGGAGATTTTGTTCTTTCCCAAGTTCTTTTTTCTTTAGATTAGGACCCCATTTATGTTTTGGGGGGTTGTTTGGTTCACAATATGTTAATTGAGGAAACTACGTGGGTGTCAAACAAAAGCTTGAGGCATGGAGAAGCACCTTGGAGAGTAAGAGCTTTAGGATAAGTAGAAATAAGATTGAATACATGCACTGCAAGTTTAGTCAATTTAGATATTTAAGTTCGTTGCTTCAAGAGAATGGAATGATGGATAAAGATGTTACCCACAGGATTAAAACTGGATGGTTGAAATGGAGAAGTGCTACTGTGGTGTTAGGATGCGTACCAAAGTAAAAGGTAACTTCTATAGAATAGCTATACAACCACAATGTTATGGTATTGAATGTTGGGCTGCTAAAGTGCAACATATTCAAACGATGATTGTTGTAGAGATGGGGATGTTAAGATAGATGTGCATTCATACAAGATTAGATAAGATTAAAAATGACCACATTCGCGAAGGTGCAAGTAGCACGCATTAAGGATCAAAATAGAGAAGGTCGCTTGAGATGGTTTTGTCATGTCTGCGTTACCTACAGAGACACCGGTCCGCAGTTGTGATACTATGGTGAGTAAAGGTGTTAAAAGGGGACCGGATAATCCTAAAATCACATGGGAGTAAGTCGTCTCGAAAGACCTACAAATGTTTGGAATCAATGCAGACTTAGCTAAAGATAGGGTACGACAACAACAACAACAACAACAACGTCAACAACATACATGAATAAAAAAGTTATGATGAAAATACTAAAGAAAAGAAAAGAAAAGTATTGACAACAAAAATGTTAACAATTGATAAAATTGAAGAATAAGATAATAATGGAATTATAATATTGCTAGTAATAAGGGAAGAGGGAGCAGATAAAGTGCTCTAAACTAGAACTATGCTCTACCGTAGAGTAGAAAGAAATTGGTCGGCTACCTACTATCCTTCTACCCTAATCCTCGACCTCCATGGTCTCCTATCTAGGGTCGTGTCCTCAGTGAGCTGGAGATTGCCAATCACCTCTTCCCAATTCTTCCTCGGTCTACCTCTACCTCTCCTTAGACCTAACATTGCCAACCTCTTGCACCTTTTCACTGGGGCATCTATGTTCTTCCTCCTCACATGCCTAAACCATCTCAGCGTCACTTCCCACATCTTGTCCACCACGGAGACCACTCCCACCTTGCCTCGTATATCTTCGTTCCTAATCTTTATCTCTCTTGTTATACTCACATATCCATCTAAGCATCCTCATTTTTGCTACTTCCATCTTCTGAATGTTTAAGTTCTTGACCGACCAACTCTTTGTCCCATATAATATAGTTGGTCTAGCAATCACTCTGTAGAACATCTTTAAGTCTCAGTGATACATTCTTATCACACAAAACACCAGATGCGAGATTCCATTTCATCCACCCTGCTTCATTATGATGTGTAACATCATCGTCGATCTTCCTGTTTCCTTGGATTATTGACCCAAGATACTTGAAGCTTCTTAACCAAGGGATGACCTGCGTGTCAATCCTCATTTCCACATCCGCCTCATGTGATGCGACATTGAATTTGCACTCCATGTACTCTGTTTTAGTCCTACTCAATTTGAAATCTTTAGACTCTAAGGTGTCTCCAAACCTCCCGTCTATCGTCAATTCCGCCGCGTGTCTCATCGATCAATACTATGTCATACGCAACAAGTACACCATGTTACCTTCCCTTGAATATGCTGTGTCAATTCATCATCATCAAGGCAAATAAAAACGGGCTAAGAGTTGATCCTTGATGCAACCCCATTTCAACTGAGAAGTGTTCTGAGTCTCTTCCCACTATTCTGGTTCGGGTCTTGGCTCCATCATACTTGTCCTTATTTGCACTAATGTATGTCATATGTACACCTCTTGACTCCAAGCATCTCAATAAAACCTCCTGGGTACTTTGTCGTATGCCTTTTCTAAGCCGATGAACACGATATGCAAGTCTCTTTTCCTATCCCTATACTGCTCTAACAATCTCCTTGAAAGAGCTAAAGAACGGGTACATTGGAAGAAAAAGATCCATATAGGTGATACTTACTAGCTAGGAATATGCTTTAAATTTGTCAAAAACTTTTATTGTTATTACTATTTATTAATATTACTATTATTTATGTATATATATATTTAGCTTATTTTTATTAATATTTTATTTGGCATGATGATTATATGAGTTAAGCTTAAAGAAAGAAGTGGGGATTCATATCGTCGACCCTAACTTTTTTTGGGACTGAAACGTAGTTGTTGGCTCGTTTGATTCAAAATCAAAGCATGCAGGGATTGTAATTCAAAGATAATATAATGCAGGAATTAGTTTTGCATAAATTGTCTTACTCAACAAAGAAAAGCAATACAGAAGTTGTAATACATGGATTATAGTAATGCATTGTAATGAATTGGTTATTCTATATTATAACTTGCTAGTATGCGAAATATAATTTAATATATTTTAAAAAAAAAATTTAAGTGTGTTTGCTTTTATAGCCTTGACCTTCTTTATCTTTGTACATTTTAGTTTAAAAATCTTTGTCTACTCATTGAAACTATATTTATGGAATTTGACATTTTTATATCATAATGGATATAATATTTTATTGGGAAAAGATCCAAATTTATCTCTCTACTTTCGAATATTGTCTACATCTAACCTCTATTATACTATTCGGCCAAATTTATCCCTACCGTTATATTATCCGGCCAAATTTACCCCTACTATCAACAAACTTTTATTAATTAGCGCTCAATCCGTCATATGACCCAGAATCTCCCAAATCATTTTAATCAAGTCATTTATTCTTCTTCTTGATCCTTATATTCGAAATAGTTGGTATTTACCTGCTTTCTTAATTGAAAAAAAAATTAAAATAATACAACAATTAGTAAACAAAGTATAATAAATTGAATAATCTAAATTAGGTTCAACTTTGCATTAATCAGATGCATACACATTGTGCACTCCTATCGAACTCTATACTAACCAGACAATAACAAAATATATTCGAATATACACACACATACATGATGAACAGTTGCATATAATACACAATGAATAGACCCCCTGAATTCTACGGTGTGTATGTGGTTGATAAATAAACAAATTTTAAATCAATTCCAAACCCATTATCACAAGAAGAGAAGTGAGTGCAATGGTAATTAAAAATATCTATGAATAATTTGTATAGTCTAACACCTTTAGCATTCACATCAGTAGTAACTTCTGAAAATAGTGGTGCGAGCAGAACAACAAGTGATTTAAATAAAAGAAAATTGGGAGATTTTGGATTACCTAACAGATCAAGAGGTAATTTTTAAAAGTTTGTTGATAGTAGGAGTAAATTTGGTTGAATAGTATAATGGTAGGCGTAATTTTAGCCTAATAATATACAGAGGTTAAATGTAAACAATATCCGAAAGTAAAGGGATATATTTGGCCCTATTCCCTATTTTATGTCGTGCAATGTGGAAGTCAATGGCAGCTATCTAAAGGAGTCAGTAATATCATAAAACCATGTACTACTAATTACTGAAAGGAATTTTTTTAGTTGAGTAAATCTTTTGCTGTACTCTGGTTTTAGAGTAATGTGAAATAAAAGAATCCAAATTAGTCTTAGACGTGTAACATTTGATAGAAAAATAGAAACAATCAAGAAATTTGCTGCTAGAGTTATTGAAGAAATCCAAACAAACTACACAAAGTATAGTGGCATGTTTTTTAGGGAAAAGAACTTAAGTCTGAATGATATAAGGGCATTTTAGCCATTTTAGTTATTTTGATCCATGTGTTGCTAGTACACCTATCTTTATTCCACATTGTTTCCCGCATTATATAATACATAGATTCTTGCATAACTTATGCTGGTAGTACTAAAGAGGAACGGTAAATTGTTAACCAAACTAAGTATTGGCAATGCTGAATTGTATGTGGAGATTAAAGTTGGTGACTCTAACAATTTATGTTGAATTGTATGCTGAGATTAATTCTCCTTGTACACCCAACCAAATGGGCCCTTAAAATATTTGGTTTGTGTCCATCAGAAGAGTGACTTGAGAGGGATCAAAAAGCAATGTCCTATTCGTTTTAAATAGGGTGAAAGTAGTGGTCGTGATGTCTGTCATGACTCATGACTGGTGTCAATTCTTCAATGGCACGCTAGGTTGATTCTCTTGACCTATTATCATAGAATGTTGGACGCGTCAGCAGTAGCATATATTCAGATTGCTAGCATTGCCATAGCAGACCAGGTTGATTCTGTCGGCCTATTATCATTGAATGTGAGCTTGTTCCTGCCCCCAAGAGTGTGGCCTAGTGGTCAATGAAATGGGTGCGACCCATGAGATCTCAGGTTCAAATTCCAGCGGAGGCAAAAAACATTAGGTGATTTCTTCCCATCTATCCTAGCCTTGGTGGATATACCTGGTACCTGTTGCTGGTGGGAGGGGGCAGGTATCCCATGGAATTAGTCGAGGTGTACGCAAGCTAGCCTTGACACCATGATTATCCAAAAAAAATGTAAGCATGTTCCTGCTAAAGACATGTTTGAATGCTTGGCATTGGTGTGCTTGCACCCTCAATCATTGGTGGGATCCCAATAAACCACAGCATGATTGTGTTTTTCTGTTGATTGTATTCTTCTGCACTGGCTGGTTTTAGTTCATGTATTAGTGTGATTCCAAATATACACAAAAGAAAAGTGTACTTGTGCTACCTATAATTTTCTTCCACATTAAGGAGAACAGGTACCTCTCTCTTCCTTTACGTGTAAGCTGTGCATATTTGAGCTCTTATAGTTTGAAATCTTTGGGTTTCTCAAGTCCTTGGAGCTTTGTTGTTCAATTAGTTTGATTGAAAGCAGTCTTAAAACTACCATATCTCCATCTTTTGACCCTGAATTTTAATCATCTGCAAAGATGTAATCATCGGATAGCTTATATAAAATGAGAACTTTTATTATGATTCCATCTTTATTTTCGCTGGGAGTTTTTTTGCTGCAATCCTATTCTTAAAGGTGAAAATATGTGTCAACTTGCTCCTTAATTCTTTAAAAGTCTTTTCCTATGGTTTTTCTGTTTCCTTACATAACATACAAACTAATGTTAGTTCCTTGATGAGATTGGGATTGACACAGCTGGTTGACTTGCAGGTTGCACGTGGTCAGATCGAACTAGCAAAAAATGTAAGACAGAGGCTGACATCTCCCAGTGTTGCTGCTCCACCATTGAGTACTGGTATCCTTCCAGTTGATGCCACAAGAGCAACTGAACCAACCCAGCCTTCACTGCAATTACCCAACATGCCTCCTTTGCCTCCACCTCCCAATCCTTTGACTTCTTTTGCAAATTCCAAAACTAATGAAGAGGAAAGCAAAAGGGCGGCAGCAGCTCTTGCTGCAAAACTTGCTGCTTCAACATCTTCTGCTCAAATGTTGACCTCTGTTCTTTCGTCTCTTGTTGCTGAAGAAGCTGCGTCACTGAGCAGTGGATTGAAATCAGCTGGTTTTTCTTCTAGCTTACCTTTTGCATCTCCAGAGAAACGGCTCAAGTTAGACAAGCCAATGACTTTTTCTGATATGAACAGTTCCGAAGGGGGTAATTCCACTTACTTCACTTCATCACAGCAACCGATTACTAGCATTCCTCTTGCCCCTTCCTCAGGCTTACAATCGTCAAACCAGATACAAGCTCCGTTTCCACCACCTCCACCTCCACCACCACCTTTACCTCCAGCAAATTCCCCTGGAAGTCAGTTAGGTCAGTCTGCAGCTATGATGATGGGGATGATGCCCTATGGATATAGTGCCGGCAGCCTTCAGCCACCTCAAATTGCAATGGGACTGAGGCCACCTCCACCACTACCCCAGCAAGCACAACAGCTGCATCTCCAGACTCAGCAGCCACAATCTCAACAGCAGCCTGCCAATGGTGGATTTTATCGTCCTCCTGGTATTGGATTCTATGGACAGACCCATCAGCAGACAACACCAGCAGCACCCAGGCAGTAAATCCCTTTGGAATAGGGAGCACATGTTACATTGTACATTAATAGTAAAAGTAGACTAGTTCTAGTTACTTTTTCCTTCTCCTTCATACTTTTTCGCACCCGACATCCGCTGCAATCCCCAAGCCCTCTGTTGCTTAACCAAGGTGCCCTTTGTGTTGAAGTATCGGGTGTTTTGCATCCATTAAAGCGTACCTGTAACCTATGTCTAGGTGTCTGTATAATTAGCTGTAGATTGAAGGTCCATGTACTTAATATCTTCAGAACCTTGAGCAGAAAGAAACTAGTAGGTGAAATTTTAGCCTGTTTCTGCTGCTTGGACCTTTCCATTAGTACTTTTGAATGCTTAAAACAGTGTAATCATGCGATTTCACTTAAGTTGTATGATCTCTGTATGTCATGGATATCTCCTCCCAAATACATCTGCTGGCCAAACCAAAACCGTATTAAATTAGCAAGCAAAGAGGGTTGATGCATGATTTTTTCACTATGATTATTTTGGCAACTTGGATGAGTTGCTTTGCATGCCATTTGAAAGGTGACTAGGACCTTAAAAAAATCACCTCCTAAGCCCTTCTAACACCTTGGCCAAAAATTGGAACCCTCTTCCATAAAGTTGAAGAAATCTGTATATATGATGAGGAGCTGGTAAGTTCGAAAAGCATCTTTTGGTGCTATACCTCCTTTGAACTTTGTACATGTTAACAGCCTAATTGTCTTCCCCTAACGCCATCTGCCTTGGCTAATATTCTTCCTTTCTCCAATAGTAACTCCTTTAGTCTCCATGACAACTTAACTTCTTACAAACAGCAAAACAATCTTGTCACTACGTAGCCACATACCGAGACCTCACATTGGATGCACCAAAAACATGTGCAATAATTCAAATTATCACTTGTTTGATGCTACGATTTACCTCAATCAGAGCAAGACCATTGTTCCTACTTAAAATGTTAAAAGAAAATAATATTCACCTATATTATCCATTAAAAAGATGGGTTGGATAATGAACTGTTTAACGGGTCAAATATAGATAAGAACCATATTATCCATTTTCTAAATGGATAAACAATGAATACCTAGTGAGTTTAACATTTACATTTACATTTGTAAAACCTCAAATTGGGTTCTTCAAGCTTGGGAGACTAGAAATTTTTTCAAGAGTGATCATATTCAAGAAGTCATGGATAATATAGATATCCATATTTTATCCGTATTAAATAAGAGTCGGGTCGGATAATTTATTCGTTTTGCATTAACCATTTTCGATCTGAACTAAGGCTGTAAAGTGGGCCGGCCTGGATCGGCCCAGGCCCGCGAGCCCATATGGGTAGTGGGCCTAAACGGGCTGGCCCATTTAAGCCCGGGACCAGTTGGGTCTTTGAGCCCATGTGGGCCGGTCCTCACCCTTGAGCCCACAAGCCTGTGACCGTTTGGGCTCGGGACCGGCTTCCTAAGTGGGCCGGTTCAACCGGGCCTAAACGGGCCAAGCAGGCCCAACGGCTAAATTTTTTTTAATAAAAAGTTTTTTCTGAAAAAAAGGCCAATGGTTGGAAGTTTTAAATTATAGCCGTTGGCCTGCAAAAAGAGCCGTTTGGCACTTTGAAAAATAACCATTTTGTCCCCAACTTTGTTTTAACCCCAAACTTTTTATAATTACACTTTTTCCCTATTCTCAACTATAAATACCCCCTCATTCTTTTATTTTTTTCACAAAATCATCAATCTCTCTCTAGTTTTCTTCTATAATTGCTTACTTTATTATTGCAATTTGTGAAAAATTGTCAAGTTGGTGAATTGAAGTACTCAAGTCTTCAACGATATATATATTTCAAGAAGTTGTTCGTCAATTCGGTAAACTCGTTCCAAGTCTTAAGTTTTAATATTATAGTTTTGTTTGTTTTACTTTGTATAATTATAATTAATATGGCCTATTCTTTGAAAAATATCTTTGGTAAAAGTAAGGGAAAATTCAAGATTGGTGAATCTAGTGGCCAAGCTATTATTCCTCCACTTCCCCAGGCTCCCCGACCCAAACCTGTTACCCGTCCTACACCTGCTATTCTTGATAGCGATAACATTTTATTACAATTTACCAATAGTCAATTTTACCATGATATTGCACCAGGTGAACAATTAAACTATGAATATATGAATGTTTTTTATGGTAATCCAACTATTGATGAAAATGATGATGAAAATATAGATTTTGATGAAACGCAATTGAATGATGATACACCCACTAGTCCTTTTGTTGAAGTTAACCCAACTGATAATACTAAATGATGCCCCGCCTGACCCTCCTGTTACTACCCCTACTTTTTCTAGACAACCTTCTAAACGGAGCGAAACATTTATTGTTTGGCCATTTTTTATTCAACTAAGAGAAAAAAATAAGGCTAAGTGTAAAACTTGTGGCGTAGAGTTGGCTTTTGAATTTACTGGAGACCCGGAGAGTGGGG